GTCAATTTAATTGCTTACAGATGAGTGAAATGTCGTCAGACTTGTTCTTTTCTTATTGTACAAAAATTTGCGATTGACGACTGTGACATTGCACCAAGCTTAAGATGTTCTGTTAGCCTATTGTTTTGTATGATGCTTACCATGTGTTTGACTAATTATGATTGTTTACTGTCTGTATTTTCATTTGATAAGCTTTTTTGTGATTCAAGTTACTATATATTTCTTCTATATGGTGCAGTGAATTATTTTCTCTGAAGAGTCTAGCCAGTGCAGCTGCTAGTGACCTTAGATTATCTCGCAGCATAACCACTCAAACTGGAATCGCTTCTGCTATGCCAAAATTTGGGCATGATGGTACTATTCGAGCCATATTTCTGCTTGTCCCTTTCTAAAGTTTAATTGTCTTTCTAACGAGCCCTCATTTACTTTTCTTAAGGGAAACCCATGGCTAGAACATTTGCACCTTATTCAATCTTCAAGGGAAAAGCTGCGCTTTCTGCTGACCCTAGTCTCCCAATGTTTACTAAATTGGAAGTAAGATGTTACATGTGAAGAATAGATACTATCATTATAAAGTTTTCATCTTTTTTTTTTTTTCATTTCCCTTTCTGTTGGAGTTAGATATTAACACTATTTTTATATGCCCATCTTCTTTTGTCTGGAGACTACAGAGTTGAACGACGTGGTTCCATTATGTTAACGTTCCGGCCTGCTATTGGTGAACGTAAATATGATTGGGAGAAGAAACAGGTTGCAAGAATTTGTTATTCGTTTCCTGAAGTACGTATCTTTCGTGGGTGCAAGGATTTGTGCCTTATCAAACCAAGTATTATCATACATATTGCAGATGTTTGCTCTGTCAGTAACGGAGGTTGGCTCCCTGATCAGTTTGGGTGCAAAAAGACTCTTGTGAATTCTTCCATGACCCAGCAATGAAGTCAAGGTTGATTTTCTCTTTGGTTCTGAACTGTCCGAGTCCTCTCTATTTATGTTTTAACTTTTAAGTACCACAACAGTCTGGAAGTATCTCCGGTTCCTTTGTGTTCCTCTCAATTTTATTTTCTTTTAACATTTATCTGATATTATAGTCCACAGTAATGCAGGCCAAGTTAGGAAAACTTTATCTGTTAAAGCCCAACCTGATGGAAGCGGTTACTACATTTCTCTGAGTAAGTGTTCCTTTATTGTATGAAGGCATTCGTTTGAAATGTTTTTATTCATGAATGTTATTCAGTAAAGATGTCTCACATGCCTAACTTAGACTTTCAGTACATACATATATTAGTGTAATGAGAACGAGCTTTGTCAGTTCTAGCATCCATCCTCCTTTAATCTTGAATACCAATGAAGAACATAAATATAGGAAACATTATTGATATTATATGATTTTCATGTGTTGTCAACAATATCCTCAAGACCAATGATCGGTTTGTTGTTCCTGTCACTTGTGCTGAATTTGCAGTTATGCGAACAGCTTTCACTGTAAGTCGTCGTCCCCTTTTTGGTGTTTTATGTTGTTTCTAGTGTATGAATCTACAATAATCTTGTCCAAACCTTCAATACAACTTCTCTTTTTTTTTTTTTCAACTTCCTTTCCTGAATGATAAAGTGAGACACCATCAAACTGG